ATTGTCGGGCAACGTTTGGTTATGTTCTGAATAATCGTGCGCCAGTTTAGTTTGTCAGCTAACCGTGCATATCCGTCAAACAGCCTTCAGGAATTGCAAGACCTGCGGCAAAATTTTCCCCGCAAGACCCACGGGTCAGACCCGAGGCTCAAGAATTCAACCTCAGAGCCGAGTTGCTTACACAAAATGTCAGCAGCAGCTAAGCAAGTGAGAGTTGCGGTAGTAGCTGGCAAAGCCCTTGGAAGTGCTGTGAGAGGAGGTGAGCAATCGAAGTCCTCCCTGAGTCTTCGCAACAGAAGAAACGTTCTCGTAGTGAATCTCACCATAGCATGTGCTCATTTCCAGTGGCTGTCGCAGTGTGTTGTCAAATAAAAAGGGGTGCTTATATTGACCATCGAACATGATAATCCTTTTCTATCTGTAGAGCCAGTGCTTGCAGAAGAGCTGCTACTTTGCCCACCAGATTTCGGAGAGCTTTCCCTTTTCTGCACAGGCTCATCGGTCTTCTTGTCCACGCATTGGGTGGTGAAATGGCCGATTTCACCAGAGACCCAGCAAGGTTTACCTTACTTTTTCTTGGAGGCAGGCTTCTTCTTGTGGTTGTGGCTGTCCTTCCACTCTGCAGCAGAGTCATTTGAAGGAGAAGCCCATTGCCTGAATTACCCGTCTCTGCCAGAATTACCCCCCATACCCCCTGCAGCCTAGAGTCCAGAACCAGTCAAAAGAACCCAGAGGAACAAGACGAGTCCTCCGCAACCAATGAGCACAAAATTCAGTAACACTGATACCCCCCCGCCCCCCCCCCCCCTCTTCCCCATAAATTACACCGACCATGTCACCTGCCCCTCATTTTCTAGGGCGTGAGTTTCATAGTTCCGCTACTCAAAATTCCAGAACTACTTCCAGGTTTGGCAAAATTTATGCCCCTTGAGAGATTCACGAAGCCTCCTCGAGATGTGTTGCGAAACGTGTAATCACCCAAGTTCCGGAACTTGCCAGGTTCCGGAACTGTAAGAAACACCTTTAGAGACAATGTCATGTTCAAATACATGACATAACAGATTCACTCTGGGAAAACCAGTGTCGGATGAAAAAGTTACCCTAATGCATCAATGTCGAAATTAATACCAACCCAAAAAAATCATAATTGTGTCTGGTACGGACCGTGACTAATTTTTTCTTTTTTTTCAAGTCGACCTTGATCAATTAGGGTGGCTCAAAACCAATCTGAGGGCCTGCTCTGCAGCCTCTTCCATCGACAGGCTTCGCTGCCGGAGCAGGCTTCGGGCAGAGTTTGTCAATGTGCCCCTTCAGCAGACTCTGCAGCCTTCGTAATTTGATATATGGAGAAAAGGATGAGAAACCACAAATATAAACCAGGGTTACGAGGAATGAGTGCTGGGTGAAGGGAAGAGTTTGTTGTGCCACGGTAGAGCACCTGAGCAAGGGGTTTAGGTATAGGATTGAGAGGGGAAGTTGGTTGGGAGATGCGGAGAAGAGGTGAGGGTAGAGAAAGGGAGATAAAGCATTTGCCCCAGAAAGGGGAGAGGAGACAGGTGAGAGTGGAGGGGCAAGAGAGAGTGACGGGGAAAGAGAGAGCGGGGGACAGAAGTGAGGGGAGGGATAGGAAATAGGGGAGGGATAAGAGAGAGGGGAGGGATAGGAGAGTTGCAGAACAGGGGGGGACTGAGGGATAGGAGAGAGCTGGGAAACAGGGGAGGCTAAGGGAGAGGGGAGGATAGTTGGGATACACATGAAACAAGAGGCGGGGATAACAAGAGTTGGACGAGAAAAAGGAAAGAGGGAAAGATTCAGGGGGTGGACAGAGGCTGAGAGTAAGGAGGCGGACAGAGGCTAAGAGCCAGGGGGTGGACAAGGGATTTTGAGGGATAGGAGAGAGTTAGGATAAAAGGGGAGGGGGGGATGGTGAGGACTGAGAGAATGGGTTAAATATTGGTGAGAGAAAGGGTTATTCCTGGTGAGGGGGAGTGAGAGGATGGGAGGGTAAGGAATATGGAGGCATGGGAGGGAATAGGATGGGGCAGTAAAAAAAACCGTGCGACCTTAAACCCAGGGACTTAACCCCTCTTCCTACCCAGCATGCCCCCCCTCTCCTTGCCCTTTCATCCCTCTCTCCTCGCCCTTTGTTCCCCTCTCCTCGTCCTCTATTCCCCATATCCTTGCCCCTTATTCCCCCTCTCCTCCCCTCTGTTCCCCCTCTCCTCCCCTCTGTTCCCCCTCTCCTCCCCTCTGTTCCCCCTCTCCTCGCCCTCTGTTCCCCCTCTCCTCGCCCTCTGTTCCCCCTCTCCTCGCCCTCTGTTTCCCCTCTCCTCGCCCTTTGTTCCCATCTCCTCGCCCTCTGTTTCCCCTCTCCTCGCCCTTTATTTCCCCTATCCTCGCCCCTTGTTCCCCCTCTCCTTGCCTTACCCTCTATCCAAGGTGGGGAAGGAAGGCAAGGCTGAGGGGGGAACGGGACAGATACATTAGCTCTTTCCCCCATTCCCCAATTTTCCCCCATTCCGCAGCCATATTTTCCCCACCTCGCCTAGTTCTTTCCCCCATTCCGCATACCCCATTTCCCATTCCGTCTACCTTATTCCCTCATTCCGCTTACCTCTTCTCCCCGCAAACTGGAGATGGGAGGGCCTTGGCGCGGGGAGGCGCTGGGGGGGGGGGGCGGTGTAGTGTTATGGCCGCTACTAGTTCATTACACGAAAGTGAATGACCCAGACTTGACAGCGCCGAAGGCATCTCCCCCATGTACCTTCCAGGATGCTGGTCAGCATGAGAGAATGAATTGAAGAGACACATGCAGGACACGGTTCCTATACCAGTGTTGTACTCTCTATAGTCTGCTCCTAGCTAGCCTACAGTACATACAAAATATGTACGCACACCCCCTAGTCTAGGTAGGGGCAGAGTCTAACGGCAAAACAAACACAACAAACCAAGGCAGCACTACTAGTCGCCTCTGGTATATGTCACAAACAGCTCAGGGCAGCACTACTAGTCTGACCACTGAGATAAGGGCCAGAAGGCCAGTCAGCAAGTGTAGCAAGACAACCGGTATAGATTAGCAGATACAAAATCGGTTTAGTACAGATCAGGATACAAGGAAGTGTGAGGCAACTAGGACTAGACCAAGCTGAGTGCAAACTGCTGATGATCACGAGGCCCAAGGGCCTTGGTAAAGATATCAGCAGTGTTGGCCTTTGAGGCTAGCTGTACTACACGAGCCTGGCCACGCGGCTGTAACTCACGCAGCAGGAAGCACTGCAGCTAGATATGCTTCTGGCGCACACCGGGAATTTTGGCGTACACCTGGAATTGAACCAAAGACCCTCTGATACCATGTCAGGGTAAGATAATGAATTGAAGATACATATGCAAGACATGGTTCCTATACCAGTATTGTACCCTCTATAGTCAGCTCCTTGCTAGCCTACATGACATACAAAATATGTACACTAACAGACACCTCAAAGTGACATTTGGGTTACGTATGCGTCAGATGCGTGCCATGCTTCCCAGAAAGTGACCTACAACCTAACCCGTGAATGATTCGGACCCAAAAGTTACCTATAGGCTAACAGTAGACAGGATATCCAGATTCGATACCCACTGGAGCTACATAATCTGGCAGGGGCAGCTTAGGGCCAACTAACAGCAGTCCCGCACTCCTAGATTGGGTGGTACAATGTAAATAGACTTGCCTGTAGCTTAAGAATTTTAACGTTCATATATATGTTAGGACTTATATGAACAATAGCCTAGTTAGGGTTCAGGCTTATATAGAGTATAACACTCAGATATACCCAACTGTCTTGCACTCTCTAGTTAACTTATTCTCTCGACATGGTATGTCGATAGGTCTCTCCTAGCTATCGCGCTTCACTGCCCTAGGTTCCACCTTAGCCTAGCCTAGGACCTTGGCTCTCACTCTCGCTAGTGCCCTAGCTCGCGCCCCCGCCCTAGGCTATCACCTCGCCTCCTCGCTGCCCCGCTAGCTCGCCACTAGCTCGCCACTAGCTTGCTAGTCGCTCGCTGCCGCCAGCTCGCAGTTGCCAGCTCGTCGCTGGCCGTCACCAGCTCACTATCACGCCAGCTCGCTGCCCGCCCCCTGTCGCCAGCACACCGCCCACCCGCTACCAGCACCTTGCCGGTGCCAGCGCACCACTCGCTACCATGATACCACACCTGCCAGCTCGCCGCCAGCAGCGTCTGCCAGCTCGCCTCCAGCACCGGCCAGCTCGCTGCCAGCAGTGCCTGCCAACGGCACCTGCCAGCTTGCTGTCAGCAGCGCCTGCCAGCTGGCTGCCAGCGCGCCTGCCAGCTTGCCGCCAGCAGCGCCTGCCAGCTAGCCGCCAACAGTGCCTGCCCGCTCATCGTCAGCTCGCCCGAAAGCACCCTACCGCCAGCCGCCAGCCAGCTCGCCGACAGCGCGCTGCCACCTGCCAGCTCGCCGCCAGCAGCAGCTGCCAGCTCAGCAGCCTGCCAGCTTGCCACCAGCTAGCTCGCCGCCAACCAGCTGCTGCCAGCCAGCTCACCGCCAGCCAGCCAACCACCAGCTATCTTGGAGCCAGCGCACTGCCACCAGCCAGCTCGCCGCCAGCAGCAGCCGCCCGCTCGCCAGCCGCCAGCTCACCGCCAAGCTGGCCGCTAGCTCCCTAGCCGCCAACCGCCCGCTCCCTACTGCCAGCCTGCCACCGCCAGCTCGCCACCAGCACCCTGTTACTCGCCGCCCACTTGCTGCCGGCTTGCCGCTACTGATGGCCTGCCGCAGCCGCCAGCCGCTGGCCGTCCACCACTGCCACTGTTCCTCCGGTCGCTGCCTTCACTCCAGCTGCAGCTACTCCTCATCCTAGCCCCCTGGTGAGCCAGCTGGTGAGCCAGCGCATCGAGGGCGAGCTTCTCAAGGGCTATGTGACTAGTGAGCTGCCTGTCATCCCAATCTTTCTCTTGCTCCTCTAATTCCTTGTGAGATTCTTGAACTTTGATAGAACTTTTGAGATTGAGTTAAGTTCTCCTCCTACAGCTTACCTCCTAGTGCGTCGAAAGCCATAGCGTCGCGAATACTTCATCAATCAACGTGATTCAAATTGGGAACGGTAGCTGCAATTAAGAGCTACAACATATCCGAGTTTCGCAACATTCCAACGCCTAGTTTTTTGTCGACGTTGTTTCTTGTGAAGACGACTTTTCTGTCCAGAATTTCGGATTTATATTTTGAGTGATTCTAGCTCCTAAGTTCACCTAGACTCCGTCCTTAATACTAACAAGTGGTATCAGAGCGATATTAAGGACATTGAGAGGAGTCTACAGAAGTGTGGAGACCCTTCTAGACCCACCATGGCCTGTGGGTGTGCCTAAGTGGTGTTCTAAAGGTTGGATGTGTCTTCCGCTAAGGGGAAACTCTGCCGAAATTTCGTGGACGCCGACACTTGTGAAAATATCGAGGGAGCTGAGTGTGGACAGCAAAGGGGAGCTGAAATTCGTCATTTCTCAAGGAGAAGATGAATGAGAGAGGAGGAGATGCTAATGGAAGAGGAGCTGTAGCTGAGAAGACAAGTGAGCCGCCGCCATCAAAAGTTGAAGCTTTGGATGGCTCCAACTATGAGGAATGGAGCGGTCGGATGAGGAGTGCCTTCAAACGCTACAAGCTACTGAATATTGCTGTTGGGGAGGAGAAGATGCAGGAAGAAGGCGAAGCACGCGAACGGTGGATTGAGAAAAGCGCGGTGCTTTTCGACCTCATCCTTCAATCGGTCAACAAGGAGATGTTCGAGCTCATCAAGGATCTTGTGGAAGCGGATGATTCGGGTCCAAGGGCGTGGAAACTACTACGCAATATTCAGCCCAACACTCTCTCGATGGTGATCGTGCTCGAGAAGGAACTTGCTACCATCTCCATGCGACCAGGGGACGATGTGAAGCCGGTCCTTGACAAGATCAAGGACACCTATGCAAGGATGGCAGCAGCGGGCAGCAGTGTATCTCAGCTGCAGCAGTGCACCAAGATCATCTCGGTGTTGGACAACTCTTGGGACAACCTCATCCCCACCCTCAACTCTCAGCAAGATCAATGGACACCTGAGTGGCTAAGGCAGCAGATTCTGCAGGAGGACTTCCGCAGACACCATGTGGGAGGTGGTGCCTCCACTAAGACTGCTGAGGGGTATGGAGCTGCAGGGCGCGGCAGAGGAAGAGGGGGTTGGAGAGGCCGAGGCCGTGGGAGGAGCTTTGGCAGAGGTAGAGGCCGAGGTGACTATAATGAGGGGCATGGGAGCTCTAGTGGCAGGGGGAGTACCAGAATGGAGGGCACCTGCTGGTACTGCAAGAAGGTCGGGCATCCTTGGTTCAAGTGCTTCAGCAGGCCGGAGGGATGGGCACCTCCAGGCATGAAGCCGCCCAGTGGTGAACGCGCACAAGGTGGCACTGTGCAAGGCTCAGGTGCACAAGGTGAAGGTGCACAAGGTAATGCCTATCCTGGGATGTTTCTCATGGTTGAGGATGTGCATGGGCATGAGGGTGATGTGGGATCTGTGGGAAAGGTTGTGATGCACCCTCTCACGCACTGGGTGATTGATTCGGATTGCACCAGTCACATGACCCCACGGGCAGATTTGCTTGATGAGGTAAAACCCCCTGGGAAGATTAGTATGTGGCAGCAGCGTCAGGTGCTTTGCTCCCTGTGATTGGTGTCGGAAATGCCAAGGTTAAGGGAGCTAATGGGGAGCTTGTGGGGCTTGGAAATGTTCTTCTGGTTGAAGGTTTGTCTGCTAACCTTCTCTCTGTGCGGCGACTGCAGAAGAGCAAGGCCGAAGTGACCTTTGGACCAACCAGCTGCCGTGCTAAGCTTGGAAAGAAGGTGTTGTGGAGTCTGGAAGAGGAGACCAGCTGCATCAAGGACCTGTGGCAGCTGCCCATCACCCCTTGGAATGGGAAGACTCCAACAGCAGCAACGGCAGTAGTGGCAAAGGCAACAGCAGGAGGAGATGCAACTGCAGCAACTGATGGGATCCTGGAAGCAGTCAAGAAAGTGCAGCAGCAGCAGACACGTGGTGAGGTGCTTGCTGGTGTGGATGCGAGTGTGGCATGGGCTAAGGCTTCATCAAGGAGTGGTGAGGCCGATTGGGAGACATGGCATGAGAGGCTGTGTCATGTGAACTTCCCTATGCTGCAGAAGTTGGTGAAGGATGGGAGCCTGAAGGGCTTGGAGGTCAAGGGGGGAGTGAAGGAGATTGGGAGCTGCCCTACATGCTTGGAGACCAAGTTCTCCAAGTTCCCCTTCAACAGCACTACAGGACCAGCCAAGACCTCACTTGCACTTGTGCACATGGATGTGGTGGGGCCCACAAGAGCTCCTTCCCTCTCAGGCAGCCGCTATTTCTTGACAATTGTGGATGACCACACTCGAGCAGTGTGGGTTTACCCTTTGAAGAGCAAAGGGGAGGTGGCAGTGGATGTCCTTAAGGAGTGGATGCCTAGAGCTTAGAGGGAATGCGGACACAAGGTGAAGGTGATCCGCAGTGACAATGGTGGGGAGTTCATTGGAGCTGATTTTGAGGGGGAGTTGAAGAGGAAGGGGATCCAGCATCAACTGACAGTGCCCTACAACCCGCAGCAGAATGGCGTGGCTGAGAGGTTCAACAGGACCCTGCAGGAGGGGGCACGCACTCTCCTTGGGCGTGCAGGGCTGCCTGATCCGTTTTGGGTGTCTGCACTGAGGCAGGTCGCCCTTGTGAAGAATAGGGTGCTGGCTACAGTTGGGGAGAAGGAATGGATCCCATATACCAAGTGGTATGGGAGTGCTCCAGCTGTGAACATGCTGAGGGCATTTGGGTGCATGGTGGTGTTTCATGTGCCTAAGGAGAAAAGGGGGAAGTTGGAGGCTTCTGGAAGGGGTGTGCACTTGGGGATTGCAAAGGATCACAAGGGGTGGCTGCTATGGGACTTGACCACCCGGAAGCTGACAGTGTCAAGGGATGTGAATTTTCTTGAGTCCCTATACTACAAGGAATGGAAGCAGCAGCAACAGAAGCTTCCATCTACACCGCTCATTGTGGAGGCGGATGAGGTGCAGCGGCCTTCAAGACAGGTGGAGGTTGCAGTGTCTGAGGAGGAGATGTCTGGGGTGACTGAAGAAGGGGGAGCAGCTGAAGTGGAGCAGCAGCAGCAGCAACATGAGTCTCCACCTCGAGTTCCACACCCGCCTGAGCGACCTAGGAGGGATGTGCGCCCTCCGGTGAGGCTGACCTATGGGGGAAGAGGCAAGCCAAATGTGGTGCAGGCTGGGAGTGTGGTTGAGCAGATTGAGGAAGATGAGATTGCATTGTGCTATTGGGCTGCAATTCCTCAGCCCAACGTACTGACTCTAGCTTCAACTCAGTGAAAGCGGATGGCACCAGCATTGGGGGTTATGTGTGCTTGCTAGGAGGTGGTGCTGTGAGCTGGCGCAGCAAGAAGCAGAATGAGGTGGGATTGTCCTCATGTGAGACTGAGTACATGGCCTTACACCATGGGGCCAAGGAAGTGGTGTGGCTGAAGCGTTTGCTGGAGGAGTTGGGAGTTGGTCAAGAGGAGCCGACAGTTGTGTTCTGTGACAATGAGTCTGCTGTGAAGCTCGCCAAGAATGCTTGTTTGCATGGGCTGACAAAACACATAAGGCCTAAGTGGCACTGGGTGAGGAGACTCCTTGATCAGGAGGTGCGGCTGGAGATAGTGAAGACCCATCAGCAGGCAGCAGATGTTTTCACTAAGCGACTAGCGGAGGCGGATCATTGGAAGGGCATGAAGCTTGCTGGGATGAGTGTGCATTGAGTATGCATGCTTGAGATGTTGGTATGATGCATGATGGTTGGCAGCCAGAGGGGGAGATTGTTGTGTGATGTCATCGTATGCTATCACATTCTGTCTGCCTCCCATCCCTTGTTTCAATTCGCATGTATGGTTTGACTGTGTGTGAAAGAATTTGTGTGGTGTGTGTTCTGGAGTTTGGGAATGTGTTTTGTGTTATTCTGTCTGAGCAGGTATTTTTGAGGATAGATCTTGAGAAGATCTTTCCGACGCAACAAGAATCGCTTCAATCGGAGCAAGAACGCGAAAGCTATGAAGTTTCAAAGTTCATGAGCTTGCGTTACAATTGCGGCGGTTACAAAGTGAAGTTGTGGGGTGACTCTATATGGAGTTGGGACTATTGGGAGTTGGGGAAATTCGTCACTCTACTGTAGCAGCTGCAAAATTGGTTGGGAACAACCAAGCTAGGTTGGCAAAGGGTGGCCAACTTGGTTGGATTGGTTAGGAAGGGACAAATGTCAAAGATGGGGTTCCTATAGGGAGGGAATCTTTGTGCTTATGGGGTTTCCTTGGTTGGGGACTCTCTTGGGACCTTCCCTCTCATCCCTCTCTTCTATCCCAATCTTTCTCTTGCTCCTCTAATTCCTTGTGAGATTCTTGAACTTTGATAGAACTTTTGAGATTGAGTTAAGTTCTCCTCCTACAGCTTACCTCCTAGTGCGTCGAAAGCCATAGCGTCGCGAATACTTCATCAATCAACGTGATTCAAATTGGGAACGGTAGCTGCAATTAAGAGCTACAACATATCCGAGTTTCGCAACATTCCAACTGCTAGTTTTTTGTCGACGTTGTTTCTTGTGAAGACGACTTTTCTGTCCAGAATTTCGGATTTATATTTTGAGTGATTCTAGCTCCTAAGTTCACCTAGACTCCGTCCTTAATGCTAACAATGCTTGTGTCCCCTGAGGGTGACTCGGACGCCCTGGACATCCCTACCCCGCGCTCGTACACTGAGGCGGTCTTGGGTGCCTGTGCAGCCCTGTGGATGCAGGCCATGGAGGCAGATATGGCATCTTATAGATCCACGAGCACTTACATCGATGCAGTTCCTCCACCTGGAATGAACATAGTCGATGGCATGTGGAGCTATAACGTGAAGCAACTGCCTGGAGAGCCGCTTGTATTCAAGGCGTGCTATGCAGCTTGAGGCTTCAGTCAGCGAAAGGGTGTGGACTTCTTCCAGACCTCCTCCCATACGCCGAACATGACTACTCTTTGGGTGTTTCTCCACGTAGCTGCATATTGTGACTACAAGCTCCACTCCCTAGACTTCTCGACAGCCTTCTTGCAGCACAACCTTTATGAGTAGATCTACCTGCGGCGCCCACTAGGCTTCATCGGGTCCTTCCCACCTGGGAGCCAGTGAAGCCTACCCCGCTCTGTCTATGGTCTGTGTCAGGCACCCCGTAAGTGGCACGACATACTTTGCACTACACTTTCCCCTCTTCAGTTCTTCCTGCCCTCTGCTGACCCCCCACTCTTTGTTCGTACTGGTCAGACTCCGTTCTACATACTTGTGTACGTAGACAACCTCATGTTTGCTACTCTTAACAGAGACGCACTGGCCTCGGTGAAGGTCGAGCTGCACAGACGACATACCTGTACAGACCAGGGAGAGGTGCGGCGCTATCTGGGCTTGGAGATCTCTCATGACCATGCCGCATGCACGATCTCACTCTCCTAGTCCCACATGGTGCAACAGATCCTCTTGCAGTTCAGCCTTCAGTTCTCTTCAGCACAGTCCACCCTCTGCCTGTGGATCACAAGCTCTTTGCTCATGTTCCGACTGAGCCAGCTGAGCTCAATGGTCCATACGCAGAGCTGGTGGGGTGCCTCATGTACCTGATGGTGTGCACTCAACCAGATCTAGCGTACCCTCTCAATATCCTAACTCTCTTTGTTGCGACTGGCCGACACCGACTAGCGCACTGGTCGGATGCCAAGAGGGTACTGCGGTATCTGGCGAGTACATCAGAACTCGGGCTTGTGCTGGGAAGTCGGGAGCTAGTGGTCCTCACTGGACACACAGACGTGTCGTGGGCTGATGACCTGAAGACACTCAGGTCCTCACAGGGTTACTGCTTTAGCTTTGGTGTGGGTGCAGTCTCGTGGCGGCCCACTAGGTCATCGTCTATAGCTCAGTCCAGTTGTGAGGCAGAGATCTATGCTGGGGCCATGGCCACTCAATAGCTTCGCAGGCTGACGTTCTTGCTGACTGACTTAGGTGAGCAGCCTAGCTCTGCCGCGGTCCTGTTTGCTCATAACAAGGCCATGATCCTCCTGTGTTAGGAGGCTCGACTTAAGGGCAGGGCGAAGCACATCCAGCTGCGGTACTTCCTCCTGCGTGAGTTGCAGTAGCGCGGTCAGGCTCGTGTAGTACCGTTGGCCTCAGAGGCCAATACCGCTGATATCTTCACCAAGGCCCTAGGGACTCGTAACCATCAGAGGTTCTGTACTCAGCTCGGTCTAGTCTGAGTTGCATGTCCCTTGCTTGTATCCTGCTATATGCTATAGCTGCTCTGTACTTGCTACTCTATACGTGCTGCCCTGTTACGCTTGCTGATAGGCCTCTTGGCCTTTGTCTCAATGGTCAGACTAGTAGTTCTACCCTGAGCAGCTTTGTTACATACTCCAGAGGCAAGGTTAGTAGTGTTGCCCTGGATTTTCGCTTCTTGTTAGGCTCTGCCCCCTACCCAGGCTAGGGGGTGTGTTGATGTTCATACACATGTCGGGACTTATATGATCAATAGCCTAGTTAGGATTCAAGCTTATACAAGGTATAGATATACCCAAATGTCTTGCACTCTCTAGTCAGCTTATTCTCTCGACAAAGACATGATAATGATTTCCCACCACAAAATGCAATGCTAACGGGCAGGCCCCCAAATTGCAGACTTTTTACTCTGATTCAGACTTTTTTTTCTATGTTACTCTGATTTTTCAGAGAAGTTTTATGTACCTATGCTGATATTTCAGACTTGTTTTACAAGTGTACTCTGATGCTTCATCCTTGTATGGGGGGGGGACTCTGATTCCTGTAATACCGTCATTTGAGGGGGGGGTGCTAGATTTGCACTGGTACGTCTGTCGTCACTGTCAATCACGCTGAATTTACATTTGCGCTGGCGCAGCCCGAGCCGTCGGGCGGTCAAATTTTGTGCGATGGCGCCAACACAGAGATAGCCTGAGCAGCCGATTGGTCCTTGACCAAAACACGGCTGTTTTTGCCAATCCAGAGGCGTTCTGATGGGCGAGGCACTACAGACGAGGCACCGCACCCATGCTGACGCGACGAGTGGCTGGTTCATTCATGCATGGACAGCATCTCGCGCGCCGCGATGGAGTTGCAGCTGGCAGACCCCCTCCTTCTCCATCAGTTCATTACTGACGGGGAAAACGACCCTGCTTGTCCCCCCTCTAGCAAAGCTTCACCCAAGCTTCGTGTAGCCCCTCGGTTTTCTATCAATGCGTTTTTTTTCCCACCGCGCCTGCACGCCATGGAGCAGGCCGACCTCGATGAGGACGTAGACGAGGCAGATTATGACGAAGAAGAAGAAGAGTATTGGTGTGCCGAGAAGTTCCGCGATAGTCGCGCCGCGCTAGAGTTCCTGCGGCAGTCCGATGCCTCCGGTCATAGCCCTCCGAGGAAGCCTAGTGACGCTGCCCCTGCTGATGGCGATGCGCATGTTCCTGACGCAGCGAGCAAGAAGTCTGCGGATGCAAGTCCCCTGCCCGCTGCTTCAGCTCCTGTTGCCAGCACCACGCTGTCGGTGACGGCGGCGAAAAGGTTCCGCTACAGGCAGGTGATTCTGCCGTACGCCTCCACGTCGACATGCCAGGATCCGCCTGAGCTTGTGCCGAGCCCCTCTGTACCTGCGGATACGCCAGAATCGCCTGGCAGCAGGTCCACTGCTAGAACGAACGAGGACATCTATGCTGAGGCACAAGAGCATTTCAAATCTTGCTGGTCTGACAGATTCCCTTGGCTCATGCTCTTGAAAACTGACGATGGGCTCCCGGCCTTCAAGTGCAGTGCATGCGCAGTGCATGCAGGACCTGCAGGGCGTACCGGCAAATCGGGCAAGGGAGCTACCGACGTGCAGACCCAATCATTCAAGAAGCATGCCGGGACTCAGAAGCATCGCCTCGCCATGTCCAAGCAGGACGATCTCCTGCAACAGGCGTGGAACCAGCAGCGGATCGACATGCATCCCTGCGCGGTTGACGAAGAGAAGGAGCGAGTCATCATGCTGCTTAACTCCCTCTACTTCTATGCCAAGTGTAACCAACCCATGGAAACATGGATTCGTTTGGTGCGCTACCTCTCATCGCGCGGTTTCAAGGGCTTCCTGAAATCCGCCTATGGCACGTACTATAACTGGTGAGAACTCCAGTGACTATGAACTTCACTTTGTCTCGTCTTTACATATGAAACTTACAACGAGTTGGCTTGTGCGTGTCGTGTAACAGGTACGGCTTCGACGAGCTGACACAAACAACGGCAACGTGGCTGCAGACGACTCAACTCCAACATCTGCTGGCGAGTCCCTACATTGGCCTGAGCCTCGACGAAAGCACCGATCGCTGCCATGGCAAGCACATGATTGTGTTTGCCACGTTCATCCGGGAAGGGCGGCTTGTAACCGAGTACCTGGCTCTGCTGACAGTGGATCAGACGGATGCGGCATCGCTTCTCGCACTCTTGCTGTCCCATCTGCAAGCGATTGGCGTCGACCTCGGCCGCATCTCTGGCATAAGCACTGACGGCGCTGCCGTCATGATGGGATCACGCTCTGGACTTGTGGCCCGCCTTCATCTTCGTGTTCCGCACCTTGTCTCTTGCCATTGCATTGCCCATCGGTTCGTCATCCGTTTGCTGTGTACATGTCTTGTATATTTGCTTCTTGGTTTGTTTATAATGCCAATCCCTAACTTTCTTCTTAGTTTGCATCTCATCTCCCTATCCCACGCAGAGAGGCGCTTGCGGCGAAGGTGGCAGCCGAGGAGATCCCTGTCTTCAGCATGGTAGACAACGTTATTCGCGAGATCGCTGAGCTGCTCGGTCGCTCCAACCCTTGGCATCGATGGTTCCTGGAGCTCCAGGACGTGTTCTTGTCGATGAACCTCGAGCTCCAAGGCATCCACAACATCCGCTGACTGTCGCGCTGGGATGCGGTCATCCGCCTGGTCGAGGTCCCACCGGCCATCGTGGTCATGCTACAGGAGTACGACGCCAAGCTGTACGCGCTCGTCACCAGTTACCGCTTCTGGCTCCTCCTGATGTTCCTCGCCGACGAGCTGGAGCTGCTGAACGTCCTCAACAAGGTCTTCCAGCAGCAAGAGGTAAACTTGTTTAATGCTTGTGTTTGCATGCCTGTCGATGTCATTGCTTGTCTCTGCCGGTCGTCCCTTAACCACACATCCGTCTGTGATGCCCTACCTCTCCTCGCCCCCCTACCCACCAGCTGGACTACACGACGGTGCACGCACAAATCATCCACACAACCTCACTATTAGAGAGCCGCTACGTGGACTGCGGAGACGACTTTACCGGCGGGCCCAATGATCGATTGATGCAGTTCCTTGTCAAGCACGGGCCCGGCAAGTCCAAGCTAGTGATAGTGGATGGGATCGACTCCGACAGCCGACCTTCACGGTTCACCTTCGAGCTGCACAAAGAGCTCCAAGAGGACTCCCGAGGCCCAGAGACCACGATGGGAGTGTCGTGGCGTGCATGGCTCTGGCGGAGGGCTTGGTCCGCAACCTCGACGAGCGCCTAGGCGATCTGCGGCAGTTGTCGGGAGCGCGCCTATTCAGCGTCGACACATGGCCACCCAACTGGGACCGACAGGCACGGAGGACGCAGTGCCTCGAGTGGTTCAACTCGCTCGTGGTCATCTACCGCGTTGAAGACAGGGACGAGATTCTGCCAGGTGAATCACCGTCTATTCCTTCCAGTATCCCTTCGGCAATGTATCTGTTCAACAAGACACCTATCTTTTACTAGCTGTGTACTGTTTCCGATAACCCAACCCTTCTCCCTCTCCTTGTGTGCCCTTGTCTGAGCAGGTATAGACAAGCGCAAAGCCAAGAGCGAGCTCCGCAACTTCGTCCCCGTCCTTGCTGCGCTACCCAAGGCGGACAAGACATTCCACGCGGAGCTGAGCGCCATGCTCAATACGCAGGACAAGAGGGACAACCTGGTCAACCTGTGGGTGGCGGTGGCTGTCCTTCCGTTGAGCACTGTTGAGTGCGAGCGCGGGTTCTCCCGCCAGAACGTCATCAAGAGTTGGCTGCGGGGGGCTCTCAAGGATACTAGGCTAGGAGATCTGATGTGCATGTCGCAGCTAGAGTATGACCCCGACTGGGAAGAGGTGGTCTCCATCTGGCGGGCTTATAAGAAGAGGAAGCCCCTTAGCAACGCCTTGCCCGAGGCCAGTAGCAGCAGGAAGGGAAAGGATGATGATATGCCGGCAGCGCCTCAGCAGGATATGCAGGATATCGACTGATTTTGTGCATGTAGTGAATTGTAGTGCGTTCTCTAATGAAGAACCATAAAAAAGGCTCATACAAAAGTTTGGCTATGACTCTGATTGGTCAGACAAAAAATCCATGGCTACTCTGATTTTTCAGACTTTTTCTAGGAGGTGACTCTGACACCCATACCAAGGGAAGGCAGGGGACTCTGACGAATCAGGCAGGCCCAAAACCAATTTGGGAGCCTGCTAACGGGGGTTCTAGGGCATGGCTGTTGAACAGGCCCCCAAATTGCAGAATTTTTATTCTGATTCAGACTTTTTTCAGACATTTTTCGGGGGTGTACTCTGATTGGGAAGACTTTTTTTTGTACTTGACTCTGATTTTTCGGAGGGTGACGCGAAATTCTATGTGCTGTTGCCAGCACACAGAGAGCAAGAACACGCAAGAAGAGAAAGCCCTGGATTAGGAAAGGGAAGGAGAAAATAGACATACAGAACACCGGTTTTATAATCAGCGTAAAAATTAATGGTAACTCTGAATAATCAGACAAAAAATCTCTGCTTACTCTGATTTTTCAGATTTTTTTTAAGGGGCGACTCTGATGGCCATACCAAGGGATGACAAGCAAGTCTGATGAATCAGACAGCCCCAAAACCAATTTGGGGGCCTGCTGTTGAACCACACATGCGACCAAAGTTTGGGGTGTAAGATCAAAGGAGTGAAGCTAGACGAGCAGCATAGTGCATCATGCCACACACGGGCTTAACACAAGTGCATCATTTAGGGCAAGTTTTGTAGGGTTGCATGCCACACAGCCTTGGCGTCATACAAGCAGGGGAGGGAAGCACAATTACAGGAAGGTCGGATGGGGAGACCACTGGGGTTATGGGGGGGGGGGGAGGGGGGAATGTACGGAAACAGACAGCCGCACTCCACGTGGATGACAGACTGCCAATGAAGCATGGGTTGCGAGGGGGGTGGGTAGAGGGTGTTAATATAGGGTTAGGAACTAGGAGCTAGCCATACGAAAGTAGCGAGAGGTTTAAGCTAGGGTAGGAGAAATTTGACGAGAGAAAAGAGAGGAACTAAGAAAGAGAAGGAGATACAAGAAGGGGGGGTTGTCCCCTCTACAGTAGGATTCAGCAATGTAGCAAACCTACCAAGCCTAACAAACATACGTATATAAAATATATATATAATTTAACACACCCCCTAGGCTTGGTAGTGGCGGGGGGTGGTGGCGAGACGCCTGGTGCGGCGCAATGGAATGTGCCATAGCCTCCACGCATGACCACAGCACGAGAGCGGGCACGCGGTGGTTATAGTTTCCTATGTGTCTACCAAGACACGCAAGTCTATCCTGCTTGGCCAAGCACCCATGATTCGTTCTCTGCCCTAGTAGACCCACATAGAAACCATTACTGCATAAATTGCGAGTCTCTAGGGTAATTTTGTCTACTCCTGCTATCGCGTATTGCCTGACATCTAACCGCCCGTGAAATTAGGTCACTCTCCAAGCGCTAGCAGGAAACCAAGCGTGACGGCACTGGGCTTGAGCCACGTCGAGGCATACACCTTATTGAGCGCTGCGCATTGTGCGTGTGGCGCCCAAGGTGCTGGTTTGGTGTCGCAGAATAGTGCTACAGTTGGTTGTATGACATAAACCAGCAATATACACACGTGAAGTTCAAGACAATGGAGCACCCTGCATTCGACCAACGTTATCCCAATACGAGGCCAAAATCGCATATTCAAGCCATCACCATGGTAACCAACCTAATAAGGGGCCCCATCTACATGTAGTTCTGAAAATTCCCAACCAATAGGGGCATGATGACCACTAGGAGGGGATGGGCAGTATCAAAAGCATTGCGCCAGCAGCTTCATTGAGGCCCACATTGGGGGCGCTTAGCCAAACTCGTAGGCAGGAGTCTTTCAACAATTCTCAAGAACCGTGCCAGCATGTCGAAGTCTGGCCGTTGGCATGATGAACACCGAGGCCCAATCTGCAGAGCGGTGCTAGGGGGATGAATAGTGTTTGTGCGGCTCAGTGAATGACTTACGTAGTGTTCTTGTGGTGGGAAGCGCTGGCTAAAATAAACGGACCAGGTTGGGGAGCAAAGGAGCAAAAACACACCGTGCACAACACCAACACCCATGACTTCTTGTGCAGGTGCAGTCTGCTCTGGGATTAAGCGTTGGATGCAAGAACAATATTTTGGCACGCATTGAGTCAGTAATGTACTGATCCTCGGTATCTGGAACTACCGCGCGTCGACCGTCGGTGTGCCCGCTGCGCGGAAGTTCCGAACGGTGTTTCGTAGGTTTGCCTTGCCTTTTGGCCATTGCCGCTAGAGACTCTAGTTATGTCAAGAGAATTGCTAGCCACTGAACCTTCCGGAAGAAGGTTCCCTACATTCGAGCTAGGGTCGCTAAAAGGGCCCAACGAGGCCAAAAACGCGGCTCAGGGACCAGACTAGAATGGGTCCCCTGCTCGGTCCAGGGGACCCTATCCCCCCTGTGCGGAAGAGTCCTGCCAGCCTGAGTGGGGACTGAAAATGAGTTCCAGCCTCGAGACAAATCTCGGCAAGGACCCATGGTCCTTCGTGATGGAAATCGTGCAAATCTGGAGAGAACTAATTAGAGATTAAGTCTGACGACCTCAACGGATCATTGCGTGCTCACAGGTAACTTATAGAAATGAGCTTATACGCGTTGGAAAGGTCTTAATCTCTAATTTCCAGAATGGTAAAGCACGTTCATAACCAAGATCTGAGCCGCCGATTATGACGAAATCAGTATGAGGGGGTATTCTGGTAATTTGGCTAGGCAGCCATGAATCACCTAGTAAAAACGAGAAGGGAAGCAGTTCGATCTGGAAAAGTTGCAGTATGTGATTGTCAAACACCACCAACCCTTGCCCTAGACCAAACCCCAACACTCTCAAGTGCCATGACTGCAACATCAAAGATGTTGTAGTGGATTTGAGGTTGTATGGGTTGGAAAGGTAACGAGTTCAAACCTTGCTAACCAACCCAAGTCCTTTTGCCCAAAACCCAATAGCCCACAACCAGCTAGAGCAAACTACACCACAGAATACTACACATTTATCACTCCCCCTTGCTTGTGCTGGGTGTGGCTCAACACCATAGGGCAAAAGACTTCACACCACTCCCCCTTGCTCATGGGTTGGGGCCACCCAGAGCATGGAGTCCGCCAAGGAGAGGAGCACCAAGACGCCGGCATCTGCTGCGGGAACCCTGTCATCATGGGGCTGCATCCCGAGCAAGGTCATGCACACACCATGGCGCTCAAATGGAAGAGACTTGGTAAGGATATCAGCAGCCTGACGGTTGGTGGGGCACCACTGCAAAATCACCTCTCCCGCAGCCACCATCTCCCGAATGAAATGCCACCGGACCTGCATGTGTTTGGTGCGGCCATGCAAGCATGCATTCTGTGCAAGGGCAATGGCAGACTGATTGTCCACAAACACAGGCACACCACCAGCATGAGCATGGCCAAACTCCCCAAACAAACGCCTCAGCCACACACCCTCCTGAATGCACTGACACAGACTTATGTACTCACTCTCAGTGGTAGAGAGTGCCACCACGGGCTGCCTCTTGCTCTGCCAAGAGATAGCTGCCCCATTCAGGCAGAACACATACCCACTGTGGCTCTTGGGACTTGCGGAATCTCCAGCATAGTCGGCATCACTGAAGCCAACCAGCTGGACCTGATATTGGGGCTGTGTTTGGAAGAAGATACCTGACTTGACACCACCTTTCAGGTACCTCAGCACTCTCTTAGCGACCTGCAAGTGGAACATTTTAGGACAAGAGGCGACCTTAGATAGCTGTGAGACTGCGAATGCAATCTGTGGCTGTGTGGTAGTACAAGCATACATGAGGGATCCCACAATGCTTTGGTAGAGCTTGACCAGCTCATCTCGCAGCAAAGGTTCATCCTCATAGGCATGCATATCAAAGCCTGTCGGGAGAGGAGTACGCACGGGGTTGGCCTCTGAAAGACCAAAGGACTGAAGCATGTTAAGAATGTACCTCTCTTGATGAATCAAGATACCACTCTCATCACGCTCAATTTGCATTCCCAAGTAGTACTTCACCTCCCCCAAGTCCTTCATGCGAAAACGCGAGGATAAGAAGTCTTTCACTCGATCTAACAAAACCTTACTAGAGCATAGGAGCAAAAGGTCATCCACATAGAGGAATAAGGAGATCCTCTCCTCATCTCGCACAAAGTGGTACAAGGCAGGGTCACACTCAGATCTCTCAAACCCAAAATCCATGAGAGCCTCATCAAATTTCAGGTACCACTGTCGTGGGGCTTGCTTCAGCCCATAAATGGACCTTTTGAGGCGACACACTCGGTTAGACCCATCATCAAAACCAGCAGGCTGCCGCATGTAAAGCTCTTCTTCCAAATCCCCATGGAGGAAGGCTGTCTTGACGTCCATATGATGGATATCAAGCTTCAAAGCAGCCGAAATTCCAAGCATACCTCTCAAGGTCGCATGCTTCCCAACTGGAGAGTACACTTCTTCATAGTGTACTCCCAATTTCTGCATGTTTCCCATCACTACCAATCTGGACTTAGGCCTCTCAACGGTACCATCAGGGTTATGCTTGTATTTCCAAACCCATTGACACCTGAGGACCTCGAAACCAGGTGGTACCACTGCTGGATCAACCAGCTCAAATGATCCATTTACCTTGTGAGACTCAAGCTCCTCATGCATGGACTCAACCCATTCTGGACGGTTCAGCGCCTCGTGGACTGACCTAGGCTCATGCACCTGACCCATTAGACACACATCAAGAGCATACTCATGCCCATGCATGTCCACAAGCACGCAATCATCCAAATCAGACACAAGATGATCATGCATGCGTGCAATGTGCCCCGGTGAAAACCTTTCAGGTGGCTGGGAAATTCGAGCACTGCGTCGCAGAGTTGTTGCCTCTCCTTCTTCCAGCCTCCGCAGCTTCTCCTCCCAAGTCACCCTCTTCATTGGAGTCCTCGGAGTCTTGGACAGCTGCTGGTCCAACAACTCCTGCCAACTGCTTCTCGATGGAGTTGAAGGCACATGCTGCTCCGGCTGAACATCATGCGCATCGGCCTGCGTGGCTGGCTGAGGGGTAGAATCTGTCTCTCGGGACTCCTCATGGTTAGAATCAGCTGGTTCTGGCTCCTCCTGCTGCTCCTCCCCTTCATCTCCAGGGTCCTCCCATGCCCCCTCAAAGATAGAGGCCGTATGAGGGTCTTGAATGGAAGTCCCACTATGGCTTGCACCACGCTCCTTCCACCCCTTATAATTCAGCCCCTCATGGAAAATCACATCACGGCTCTCCATCACACGCTGGTCAGCTACACTCCATAGCACCCAAGCCTTGCTCCTCTCAGAAACCCCAAGGAAAATCCCCCACTGTGCCTTAGGATCTAGCTTCCTCCTTTGCAGGTCAGGAACCTTATACTGTGCCATGCACCCCCACACTCGTGCCATGGAAACATTTGGCACCTTCCCTGTCCATAAGGAGTATGGGCTCTTGCCTCCAAGCCCCTTGCTGCCCATCCTGTTCTTCACCCAGTTGGCATACTGCACTGCTGCCCCCCACCAAGTGTTATCAAGCTTGGCATGGGCAAGGATGGCCCAAGCCAAATCGGTCAAGGTCCTGTTAAGCCGCTCCGCTGCCCCATTTTGCTGCGGCGTGTAAGGTACAGAGAGCTGGTGGGAAATACCCTTTTCTTCCACGAAGATTTGAAGTTCTTTTCCAAGGTACTCTCCACCCCGATCTGACCTTAACACCTTTACCTTGGCCCCTGACTCCCTCTCCACATAGCGTATCCACCGCTTAAACACCTTTGCCACCTCATCCTTGGTCTTCACCAAGATGACCCAGCTAAGTCGACTGAAATCATCAAGAAAGGTGACAAAGTACCTGCTGCCCCTTTCCCGGTCAGGAGTTTGCATCGGTCCACACACATCCGTGTGCACAAGCTCAAGGGGAGTCGAGGCATGATCAGAGGAGATAGGGAATGAGGTTCTAGGCAGCTTTCCAGATGTGCAGTCAGGACATTTTCTCTGCTGCCCAGCTCCTTCCTTGACCTCCACCCCCTTCAGCTCCCCCTTCTTCACACACTCCAGTAGTTGCTGCTTCCCCGCGTGCCCCATGCGAAGGTGTAGCAACTCAGGTGACACCGTTTCCACCTGCCTCCAGCGAGTGCTACAAGCGGCTTCCTCAGAAAAAACCATATGTGCCTTGTAACAATTAGGCACACAAGTTGGAACAAGGTATAAACCCTTGTCCAGCTTTGCCTCCATCACCACAGCTTCACCCTTTCTAACAGTGCACCCTCCCTTAGTGAAAGTGCAGATGTATCCCTGTTTAGCCAGCTGCGAGCATGAAAGGAGGTTTGCAGCCAAACCAGGGACGTGAAGGACCCCCTTCACACCCACTAGCTCCCCCTCCTTCCCCTTAATGGTGATCGTGCCGATGCCAATTGCCTGCAGCAAATCTCCGCTCCCAACAATCACTCTCCTAGAGTTTGGTGGGAGAGGATGGTAGGAGGTGAAGAGATCACGGCGAGGAAGCATCCCAGATGTTGCTCTAGAGTCTAGAACCAGGAAGTTGGGATCAGCCAATGCACGACCAGCGTGAGATGCATCCTGCCCTAGCATGAGAAACGAGAAACCATCATCGGAGGAGTCGTCTTGGCCCTTCCCCTTCTCATCCTTAGCAGCTGCCGCCGTTGCTCCCTTGCTGCCCTTCTTATTCCAGAGCCCCTTCTTCATCCTTTTCTCCACCCAATCAGGTTTGGTCACTGGTGGGGCCTCTCCAGAGTAGCCGTGAGGCTTCCATCCCTCAGGCCTACTCCAGCAACTCTTCCAAGAGTGTTTTTTGTTGCATCCGGGCACAAGGCATTTGTCCAACTCTTTCTTCTTCCCCCCACCTCCTTGCTGTTGATAGCCTTTCCTAAAGGAAGCTTTATCTGCTGCACCCATGCCTCCTTCTAGGCCTCTTCCAGCATCAACCTTGCGAGCCTCATCAGAAATTAGAACCTCCCAAATCCACACCTTGGTCCATTTCTGTTGCTCGAGGTGAAGGTACTGTAGTAATGCCTCATTAGCCGCTTGATCCAACCCTTGGAGTGCAGTATAGATGATCTCCTTCTCATCTACCGTGTAATCCAGCTCCTCCAAAGCCCTCACATTCTCATCCACCCTCTGGAGATACTGAACCATGGTCTCCCCCTCCCCATAGTTCCGCTCCATGGTGTAAAACCGCTTCCGCCAAGTAAGCACGCTTAGAAGCCCTTTCTGCAAGTGCCTATCTTGCACTCTTTTCCAAGCTGCAGCTGCTGCACCTTCCTTCCCCTTCAGGTCAATCAGCATCTTAAGAAGCTCAAGTTGCCCCTCCAAAGCCCAACACAGGTACTGAAATGCCTGGCGATCCTTCCGATCCCATGCTTCTTGAGCTTTGAGCAACTCCTCGCGACTTGGTTGCGACCTTCCGGTTCGAGTTGCAGCGGTTCCTCCTTCATTCCCCCCACTCAACGATGCTCCCCCAGCCCCGGATCCCACTTGGCTGGTTGCTCCAGTAGACGCCTCCCCAGAGTCAGCTCGTGGTCGCTTCTCCGATCCATCCAACACACTTTCTAGGTCCTTAATACCTAGCCATAGTGTGAACTGGAACCTCCATAGCGAAAAGTCCGAGCCGGTAAACCTAGGAGGGCCATCCAACTTTTGGGCCATGTCAAACCCTAGATCTGGAGCACTTCAAGCCTCTCTAGATCTCTTCCAATGGAGGAAAGAACGTCCTCTAACCGTGGCTCTGATACCACTGATGGAAATCGTGCAAATCTGGAGAGAACTAATTAGAGATTATACTGACGACCTCAACGGATCATTGCATGCTGCTCAGGTAAGTTCTAGAAATTAGCTTATACGCGTTGGAAAGGTCTTAATCTCTACTTTCCAGAATGGTAAAGCATGTTCATAACCAAGATCTGAGCCGCCGATTATGACGAAATCAGTATGAGGGGGTATTCTGGTAATTTGGCTAGGCAGCCATGAATCACCTAGTAAAAACGAGAAGGGAAGCAGTTCGATCTGGAAAAGTTGCAGTATGTGATTGTCAAACACCACCAACCCTTGCCCTAGACCAAACCGCAACACTCTCAAGTGCCGTGACTGCAACATCAAAGATGTTGTAGTGGATTTGAGTGTATAGGTTGGAAAGGTAACGAGTTCAAACCTTGCCAACCAACCCAAGTCCTTTTGCCCAAAACCCAATAGCCCACAACCAGCTAGAGCAAACTACACCACAGAATACTACACATTTATCACTTCGAACCCGGGAAGCTGGAAATTTTGAGAATACGCTACGCGCGGGGGATAACAGCAAGACAGAAATCATAATTTCTTTGACAATACGGTGTGCATTGACCTACACCCGCGTAATTTGACAAAAGTAGCAAACCAACTACAGCTACGTTCCATTCCTCTGCAACGTAACATTTGGGTTTACCCCAATGTTTTCTGGTAGGCGAATTTCAGCTATTGGACTCGTGGCTTCTGGAGGGGAGGCACGCTTTTTCCTCATCCCCCCCCCTCCCCCCCCCCATCCGTTCCCCTTTCTCCCCCCAAGCGCAACTCCGTCGCGTCGTGTCCGGGGTCAGGGTCGTCGACAGTTGAGCCCCTTTCCTCAGCCTGGGTCCCCTCATGGCTTCCAAACACCGCTAGGCTCATCGGTTTCTTACACACTTGTTAAACCCCGCGGCCCAAATTGCGAGGCGCGGCCTTCAAATGCGTGCCTTTGAAAGTTGCATTTTCGTGGGTGTATTGGGGGGTACCGAGACTCTCGTCACTCAGGGGTGCCTTTCAAGTTCAGTGCGGAAGGTAATTTGGAACACCAAGTGTTCAGCGTTTTTCAACCATCCAGTTTTTCCAGATTTTCATTTGACAGCGCGTAAGCCAAACACTTCCCACTGTCAGTCGAAAGGTAATCTCATCCGTCATACTGGGGACGCCATGGCACCGCTGGGCCTATCACCTCTGACCCTTATGCGCCCAACCTGGGTGGGCATGTTCCTTTGGTGCACGTCAACCAGATGGTGCCATTTAACCCTCTCACCCCACCTGTTGCCCGCTCCCAGCCTGCTCGCACCACCCGCATCAAGCCTAAATCCGAGCACGTGAAGCAGGAGGAACCTTCTGGTTGGCCATGTGCTGCCTACAAGGATTGGGTCTGCGACGGGGCACTCGTCCTAGTCCCGTACCACATCGGATGGGTTATGGTGTCGGTAAGATGCCAAGGGTTGCTGGCATGATCTGCGGGGGTCATTCAACCGGGCTATTCTAAGTGTGCCGTTTGTTTTTGTTTGATGCATTTTGACTATGGCCTGTCCAACTGGTTGGGGATGGAGATGTGCCTCTCCCCAAGCCCATTAGAGAACGAAACAGCTGCTGAGGAAGCTGCTGGTGCTGTTTGGCAGGTGGTGACGAAGTGGCTGGTCATCAGCGAGGGGTACTGGTATGATAAGGACATGAGGGCTTTCGAGTAGGGGGAGTGTGGTCTCTACGTGAACGAGTCGGGTTTCTCTAACTACAAGCCCAAGAGGGATCCCGTGACGGGTGAATTCCCGGTTATATCATCTTTGTCGAAGACAACGTGAATGTGGATAACAACTCGTTATCTACTGCATGCGTGTAGTGGGGATTGGCGTGTTGTCATTGGGCAGAGACTGGGGTGTTTAGCATGCCGCGAGGCATGCTGCTTTTGCTCTTCAGTAATGTAGCTAGGCTCTGTAGTTTGCAAAATGCTGGGCACCCAGATTATGGGTCTAGAAGTTGTTTCCTTAGAATATATAGTGCAGTGTATTTCAATTGCAGGGTGTATCAATTTATTGGCAGTGGCTATAATGGGGCATATTGTATGAAGGCAATTACTATGTGGTTCAACTAGCGTGCAAATGTCCTTGGTGTGACCCTCCGCTGACGTACAGAGAGACCGTGTCTATTCTGTTAATCGCCCCTCGCTGACCTCCATGTGACCTCAGCAGAACACTTTTGAGTATTTCGTGCATGACATTCCCCTAGAATTAAATGTGGCCCATATTTGATGTAGCAGGTGTCACTTTTCTGTAAAAGGAATTTCGGGGCCAATGGCGTACCCGTGTATGAAGAGTCCCTTGAGTAGTGAGTTCATCCCTTCGACCTGGATTGCGGCAACGTGTCTCGGCCGACTAAGAGCGTTTGCTTTGTTTTTGTGGCCGGGCTTGTACACGATATCATAGTGGAAGTGTGTCTCGAGGAACTCAATCCACCGGACCTGCCGCCTGTAGAGGTTTGGTTGTGTCTTCATATATTTTAGGCTGCAATGGTCATTGTAGACGGTTGTTTTTCGTCCTTCGAGATAACATCTCCACGTTTTGAAGGCGATGATAATAGCAAGGGCCTCCTTGTCGTGCATCGGGTAGTTTAGTTCTCCCTCGTGTAGTTTCTTGCTGAGGTAGGCGATTGGTTGCAATCCATTCCCCTGGTCTTGCATCAAGACTGCTCCCACTACCTGGTCTCTAGATTCAGCTTTGATGACGTAGGCATGTTCGGGGTTTGGCAGGATGAGTACAGGTGCGGACGTGAGTGCTTGTTTCAGCTGCTCCACGGCTTCCTGATGTTTTGGTTCCCGCTTATAGGGCGTGTTCTTCTTCAGTAGATTCGTTACTGGTGTTGCGATTTTCATGTATTGTGGCACGAACCTGTTGTAATAGTTAGCGAAGCCTAGGAACTGTTGCAACTCCTTCACGTTCTCGGGTGTCTTCCACGTGCGTACGGCTTCGATCTTCTTGGGGTCGACGTGAACTCAAGCGCTCACCATGTGTCCTAGGAATTGGACTTTCTCGAGGGCGAATTCGCTCTTGGATAATTTGACGTAGAATCGTTCTCGTCGAAGAATTTCGAAGACGTGTCACAGGTGTTGGACGTGCTGCTGCATGTCGCACGAGAACATGAGGATGTCGTCCAGGTACCCCACCACGCATTCGTCCAAGAGTGGGCGTAGAATATTGTTCATTTTGGCTTGGAACGTTGCCGGTGCGTTGGTGAGTCCGAACGGCATTACCAGATACTCGTACGACCCGTACCGAGTTCGGAAGGCAGTTTTGTGGATGGAATTGTCCGCCATTCGTATCTGCCAGTATTCGGACTGCATATCCAGTTTGGAAAATACCGTGGCTCCCCGAAGCTGGTCAAGCACGTCAT